ACAATATTCGATAGGGGTTGAGATTGATGAAAGCGAGCGTACATGCCTTCCAGTTGACGGGAAGATTACTCACACGATTAAAGGTAACTCTCGAATTAATGGGTGCGTAATTTGATTTCAAGCATGAACAGCTCTTGATGAACGAAAAATAACACCAACATGCCCCGTTCCATAAAGCGGGAATCATTTACAATTTAGTTAATCAGGTTGACTACAGCCCGCTACAGGCCGCTTTTTCTGGATGCGCACCAACTTCTGCCCCGCATGCCTTCACAGCATATCTACCATCGCCAGTGTAAAATGTCCTTTTTGTCTGCTGTTCGGGTCCTTTCGGGATGGAGAAAACTTCGGGGTCCAGATTACAGCTGTTTTGTCGCTGTGTGGCTAAAATCAGCATGTCAATATCTCGTTTGTTTGATATCGGCGCGCAATCATCAATGATAGGAGTTAAGGCACGTAAGTTTATCTCTGTAGCAAAGAGAGGGAACGAAACACAGAGGAAGAAAACGGATTTAGGAGACAGAACGTTAGGATGGGGGAGATTTCAGGTCTCGACACGAATCCACGGATTTTAGGAGGCCAGACATCCAGCGCAGACAACGTAGCTGGGAGATAGCAGCACCGAGAACAGCGCTGCATCTCAGCATAGGGCTGCGTAACGCCCGACAAAATCAATTTGGCTGTTTGAATGGTGTGAACACTTTCGGCGCAGATGACCAGTTGTTGATATTGACTACAGGACCTCTTAAAAAACCATAAAAACTACGCCTTACTTTTCTTATCTTCGACAAAACGATTGCTCTTCCCCACCGCATCCACGACTGAGATGCTAGCGTTTTTAGGGTAAGAAATTCCAACGAGGTTTGGTCCTGCAAACCCACCTGGGTAATACCATATGTCTGGATTTGTAAAAAATTCTAGTGGATGCGAATATGCTGAATTTATAAATATTACGTATTTGCATATTCGTTACCATTTGAATCCAACGAGTGCCTGTGCCACGGAAGGAGGAGTGCTTTTACGCCAGCCTCGGTTACATCAGTTATCAGTTCCCACGCGCTTCCCTGCACGTGCTTCGAAATCTGCTTGCGCCGTCTTCATTATACCAAACCAGGGAGTGGCTATGTAGGCCTGTTAATGGAATTGTTCCGACAGTGTGGAACCCTGTCGTTTCCACTACAGTGGCTGTACACTGCAAATTACCCCGAGATTCCCTCCGTGGCCTTCCAGTTGTGATTGCGCCCCCAGTACCCTCTTAATCCAATGGCATTAACGTTGGAGAAAGGGCATAATGCGCGGATTCACTGCCGATATAGAAAACACCCTGCATCTACTGACGGCATGCTCTCACATGTGACGGAAAATGCATCACCTTCAGAGGCCGTCACCGTGTCAATGAATTAGACGGGGTTACGTGCTGTCTCCGATCCACTCCCTAGGCATCACGTTCACTGCAATGCCGACGGGCGAATATCGTGTTGGGTTACCTGGATTTGGACTAAATTAACCACTAGGAAGTCCTCCAACGTCCGATGTATGCAGACTTGAAGAAATGCTTGAGGTGGAGGGCATAGAATCTTTTTAGAAAGGACTGCTGACTGAACATCACGACCGAGCCGAACGTGCTGCTCTTAACCACCATATGCACAACTGTGGAGCTGAGCAGTGTCGATGGCAAACAAGTGTTGTCGATGTGCACGACCGGGGGCTTTTATGCCGATGTCCCGGGTGGTATCCCGGCTTCGACCTTGCCAGCCTCCATTCTTTTGTGGTTGTTAGTTAAAATCCTGGCAAATTATGTTTTGTGGACCAGGGGCTGTGGTGGCACGCCTAGGTGCGGGTCCGGTCGTGCCAGCTACCAGCGCGCTCCCCCGCCTCCGGCTTTCCTGACTCTGTCTTGACACGGGGGATCCAGATGGGGAATGGGAAGAGAGAGTGCGGCAGATGCTGCGCAAGTCTGCTATCACTTTCAACTGATTCACGCGCGAGTCACCGTGTCTGCTGCACATTGTTGTGGAGCACACGATGGACATCGCCGGCAAAGACGGACAAACTGTCATCCCTCAGTCCTTTCAGTCTGGTGTCGACAACGGTATTCACATCTCATGCCTCCATTTGTTGCAGATAAAAATGTAAGCGATTGCTAAAATCCACTCGACGTTAAGGCTTATCCGGCAAGATCTTATTTCGTACCTGTGTACCTGTAGGAGGTTATGGGTCAGTGTTAGGTGTTAGAGGTTAAGGTTAGGGGCTGGCCAATCCCATAATACAGCCATTATCTTACCTACTGTTCATTTGCCTCTCGGGTTTTTGCGGTGTTGGAGTTGTAGTCTTGATCTTGGAGACGACAAGACGGTGATCCCACCAGAAATCTGTTCCATGTCGCGCTTGTTTCGTTTTCGGTTGCGGGTGTAGGCCACATGTAATCGAGGCATGCAAGTTGTCTCGTCCCTGGGTGGGAGGACGAAAGACTGTGTTGGTGGAGGGGAAGGTTGTCTTCTATATGGACCTGCAGGACGAGAGGGCCACTGTTGTTACAGATATCAGTGGGGGCGTAGGCGATGCCAGGTACAAATATTCTTTCCCAGAGAAGCAGGCGCAGAGTCTTCAGCGGACGTTGGTGTCCTGCGTCAGACCAGGAATTTATGCTATGTGTCGTTCCTGAGGGGAAAGGTGACTCCGGCATCAAGGCGCTCAGTCTTTTGACGTCTGCTCCTGTTTTTGGTGGGACCAAAAACAGCAAAAACATCATCATCACCATCCTCCTCCTCCTCCTCCTCCTCCTCCTCCTCCTCCTCCTCCTTCTCCTTCTCATTCTCCTTCTCCTCCTCCTCCTCCTCCTCCTCCTCCTCCTCCTCCTCATCATCATCATCATCATCATCATCCTCAACAACAACAACAACAACAACATCAATGGCAATAATAATAATAATAATAATAATAACCTGACCTTTGTGAACACATGTACTTACGGCTAAGGAAGGTTCGTCAGCCACCTCTGCATACAGTTTAACAAGGATCACTAGTCAATTCGAACACCATGTAAAATTCAAACACGGTCCGGCGAACATGCCTACCATGTGGAAAGTACTGAAATTGCGTAGTATAGCGTGGATGCAACTACATCTAATTTCCGGGGAGCGAACGAATTGCTTACTCGCTACACCATAAGCTCTTATTCCTCAGAATTTTGTTCGTCATCATCATCCCTCTGTCTGTGATTTTGAAGCGAGTTGAAGGAGGAGGAGGCAGCAGTAGTAGTCGTATTTGAAGAATAACAATAGCAATAATAATAAGTAGCGGAGAAATCTAAAGCGTCTCATTTTCTGCTTTCAATTTCCCAGTATTAAGACAGGACATGCTACTTTTGGAATAACGTGGTTGAAATAGCTTTCTTTTCAATCGTACCTCTGACGGCGATAATGGGTCTTGAGTTAGAAAACCAAAACTAGGCTTAGCGAATGCGGTTTGAACGGAAGACATTCGTCCATCTTTGATGTTAGGACATCTCACCAGGTAATGCAGCATAAATTGAGGAATTGAGGAACGAAATCACAGGATACTTAATTTAATGGAAATTCTCATGCGCGGTCTGTGGAAAGGCGGGCAATTGGTATTTCCGTATTGCTTCCCGGTCTATGAGTTTCTGTGGTTATTAACCTGTAAGCCCGTTGCTACCAGTCAGAAAACAAGGCAAAATGGGGGTTTAATGCTGGTGGATGTTTGCCCTCAGGCAAATCTCGACGACCATAAGGGGGTGCGAATAGTTCATAGGGGACTAAATAGTCTATGACGTGCTGCGCTTATTTCATACGAAGGAGGTGAACGAAACAAGGATGAACTACGTCAAGTCCTGCCATCATGATGGAGTTCCAGACTTGGATAGCAGTTGCCGCCACTCCAACGAAGATGACTGTGGAAAGCACCTGTGTTTGACCCTAATGACGGAGAGGACATCACATTTCTCACTGACGTCCTCAACTGAACTTTGCCGCTGTTGACCACGTCACTAATCCGTACTGCTAATTGTGCTTCTTCACGGTCTGGTTGCGTCTCCGTAAAGCAAATTACCTTTTCGCCCCAATTTCTTAATTTATGATCTGGGAACCGCACCAGTTTCATGCGTCGTCCCTAGCCAGTAAATACCTTGTTCCACTATCCTCCTTCTAGCTACTTGAGAATTTAGCTTGCTTTTGTGAATCAAAGAAGTGTAATGGCAGGTCGGGGTCCGCTACAACGTCTTCCTGTTCAGATAAATGCAACCCTTCCATCTTTCAAGTACTGGCAAATCTGATGGTTTTTTCTAATAGCGGGTTATTATTCTCCATAGCAAGGTACTGCTTAAAGTGCGCTACCAAATATGCCCCTCGCGCCTTAGCAACTGTTTTAACCAATAGTTGTAACAGATTTTGGACGTAAAGGAATAAATACCCAACTTAAATTTCAAGGTAAACATACAATCGATGACCTTCGGAACACTGTCCTGCACGTCACTATAGAAAGCGATGCAGCGAGGCGAATCCCGTTGAATGAAAGCGGTAAGAATGAAGCAGTTATAGTTCTGGGTGTGTGTATTATCCGCTTGGCGAGCCAGTTAATTTCGCGAGGGGTTAGAGACTTATTGGTCGGATCTTATTTCGCAGCCGTACCTGCAGTAGACAAGCACTAGTCGCCTGTCCTACGGGACAAGTGTTAATAGGGAGTCTAACCTTAATCCCTAGCCCCGAATCCCGACCCCTTACTCCTAAGCCATAACCCTAAACCCTTAAAGGTACGGCTACGAAATAAGAGCTTACCGAAGATGACGTCAGGATGCCACAAGAGGACGTAACGAATTTGCACGCATGGAGCGAGAAATGGTGCATGAAATTCAACGTCAAAAAATGCACAGTAATGCACGTAGCATCAGCGAGGCGAAGAACAAATGCACCCCCACGACAGTATCTCCTGGACAATCAACCACTTAAAACCGTAGATTTACAAGAAGATCTCGGTGTATTCATTGAAGACGATCTAAACGTCACCACGCAGTGTTCTAAAGTCGCTGCGCGGGCAATGTCCGTTATGAGCGCGATACGCAGAACGTTTATTCACTTGAATAAAAATGTCTTTGGCGAAGTATACGGGACATTTGTGCGGCCGCACCTGGAATATGCGGTACAGGCTTGGCGCTCGTGGCTTCGGAAGGGTATAGATATCCTTGAAGGTGTACAACGGCGTGCTACAAAGGCTGTTCATGGCCTCAAAAGCTTCACGTACGAGCAGCGCCTGACGGCCTTGAACCTCTATCTCCTCCACTACAGGCAGGACAGAGGTGACCTCATAGCAACGTTCCAGTTGGTAAAAGGACTTAATCTGGATGTCGACTGGGAAACGTTTTTTGAAATGACACCCAAGTCCAATCTCAGACGACATGATTACCAGCTTAAAAAGGAACCGTGCCACACAAATCAACGTTCCTCCTTTTTCTCACAGAGGGTCATTCGCCAATGGAACTCTTTGCTGGAGTTTGTTGTTAATTCCCCTACCGTGAACGTGTTCAAGAGACAACTGGATGCTCACCTGCTGAAAGGCAACCCAAACTACCGAAGCCTGGTCTAACGGATTATTGAAAAGACTATAAACATACTACTGACATGATTTCAACAGATCCTATTTTTTGCGTCAAACTTAGCCCATATTGAAATTTTCACAGTCCGAATGCGGTGAACAAAGTTTTTCGCAATTATTTTGCGAATATAATACCCCTTTCACCTTTATGTTACATAATTAGATTTATGAATTCGCCCTACTAAAACTGCAAGCAAAATTTTTGCAATTTAACTATTTTACTTTATACCTGTACCCTCTAAATGGAGTTTTCATGGCTTCTGTTGTTTACTCCAAATATACTGACTGATACTGACTGACTGACTCATCTATACAAGGACTAATTAGAATGTCCATATAAGTGGTAGCCGAATATTTGGCCGCGCATTTTTGTCGTAGGTACCACCCGAAACATAGCAACACAATTAGCATTCTCAAATGAATAGCACCAAGAATAGCGTACCGCTAATCGTTAAACGAAATTTGGTCCGCTGTTTAACAGAAAGAGTGAGAAAATTCTGCTCAGCTGATAGCGTTGAGAAAGAGCTTATGATCAACGAAAGCCTCTTTTGCCAGAACGGATATCCTGATCGATTCATTGCTAAAAACATGACCGAAAGATTTCAAAAGCCCCCGATACTGAAGGCAGAAAAGGAAAGGCTCTTCATCCGGATCCCCTTTCAAGGGGATGCACCAAGTGAACTTTTAAGAAGACGCCTAACTCAAGCTGTATCACAGACTTTCCCAGCAGCTGACACCCGTGTACTGTTCTCCACCCGTCCCATCCTATACGGAGAGGGAAAGGACAAACTACCAGCCCAGACCACCTCTGTGTATTTACTCCTTCATCTGCTCCTGTAGGGCAGAATATAGTGGTCGCACGAGCCGGCGTTTTGTCCAAAAGAATAAAAGAACATCCTCCAGTATAGTTAGGAAAGGGACCAATAAAGAATATTAATAGCTCAATCCTCGCGCACATGGCAGACAGAGACCACCGTGTAGGCGCCAGGGAGGCCTAATGAGTGATTTACAAGGTCCCGTCAAGCTATCCAAAACTACTTGGGCGGCGCTTGTTGGCGACGACGGAGGAGTCTACAATCAGGCTGCAGGAACCGGCCCTATGCGCACAGAAGAAATTCATACAGGTCCCACAGTTGCCATGGCTCAAAGCCACCAAGCCAGCCACCCGCATATAATTACCTGCGCCGGGACCCACTTTCTCCCTGGCGCTGATTGGATTTGTGGTATTTCACTCTCTCCCCGCTCTAAACCCGAGCTACAGCTTAATTATCTATTTGCCCGTATCTTTTAATTCATTGCTTCAATAGCCATATAAATGTACAGGCCTAAAGAGAATTTTTCGAAGGCAGACGTCTGTTCGTCAAATTGCCTACTGAAACATTCCCATTTGTCAGCTCTCCATCATCCACAAGTATTTAATCATCGCAATCGACGTCTACACGTCTCACATTCATCATGCAACACGCGGCGTAGATAACACGTGCTCTCGGGACAATCCATCGATTGGCACTTCAAGCGGCTTTCAAATTTGTCCAGGCTACGAACGCTGCGATGCCAGCAGACGGCTTTCTGCAGCACTTTTCTACAGATTCGAAGAAGCAGCCGAACATCGTGAAACGATTGCTTGCTCTGCTAACTCACTGGAATGTCAGCCAGTTGAGGAGTGCTCTTCTAAGGCGAGTGGGGCGATGGCACTCGAACAGGGTGTCCCCACTCTCCACAGCACAAAACACGGGTGTAATAGGAGACTGTGTGATGGTCGGTGGAATGGGTAGCAAGGGCGATGGTGATGCCCTACACCACCCACAAACTCATGCATCCCATCCACAAGCGCAGGTGCAGAAGGCGGACTTGGAACCGACTGACCTGCGTTCTAGGCGACTCTCCTTCCCCTTCACGTATGTGTTCCGATTGCTTGCCCCTTATCCTCCTGAAGTCCACCTGTGCCTGCTACACGGTGCATAATATCGGCTCGCAAATGCTTACCTTCTAGCTCTTGGGCGGACATTTCGTCGATGTCGCCAGCTGTATCGCCTGACCCCTGCACTACTGAGCACTATCAGCAGTCTGGAGGCGACGGCGACGGCGGCGACGGCGACGGCGGCAACTTATCGAAGTCCTTCTCAATGGTCTCCTTCTGTCACAGCCTCTACGAGGACGAGGATCCCCAGATGAGCATGGCGGCGAAGCAGTGCAAGCGCTGTCAGTTTCTTGAAGCTCGCGCAGCTCTCACTGAGCGTACGTGTACTCCTCATTTGAGTCCCGCCTCCATTGGCATCTTTCATGTCACAGCACCGCCTACCTCCGATGCTGTCCTCCAATTCTGCATTTAGGGATGAATCAGCTGTCGGCAAGGCGGCCACCCAGGGTGCCGAGTCCCTACCCCGTCCACACCTGGGACGAGGACTCACTTGCCAGCAGTGAGTTGACCGTCGTCTCCAGCCTGTCAAGGTCGCAGTCCTCGTCTCCATCGGGGACACAGGCAGGTGTTCAGAAGGAACAGGTAAACGCGTGCGACTTGCAATCAGCCCTCAACTGTAAGTTGACAATCCTCTGGGTTGATGCGAGTTCCACTTTTTTGTCTTTTCACATGCAGCGTTTGCATGCTCTTTTAGTTGTTCCTCCCTGGCAGATTGGCAACCGTGGGCGGAGGACTGTGAGTTAAGGCTGAGCTCTGACTCTGCTTTGTGCATTGTTACACCGGAAAGATTACTGTTGTGATTCACTTCCTTCTTCATTTTAGGAGTTGTGGCATTGGAGAAGACGGATCTGCAACACACTTCGCCGAATGTCTTGTGGCATCTGTAGAGTTCCCCATAGATCTAGGTGTAATAGGTAGTTCTTGTTGTATATATACCTGTAAGACCTCATTTCAGATTATTTATCTCTTTCTCCTGTAATTCGATATTCTGTGTGAGGTGGAGATTGCGGTTATGGGGGGGGGTGATTAAATTTGATGGATTCTCAAGGGGACTGTTGCAAGATTCTGGAATGCTATTAGTAGTCTGTGTGATTATGAATGTTAAGGTGATATAGGTTAGTGTTATTGGGTTTTCCGGTTTCGCGTAGTAGGCTTGATGACGCATAGGTCTGCTTACTGAAGACGTTTATTCATGTGCCTATTCCCGTATTATTAGGAGGCATAATAAAATTCAGTATCGAGTTTTTCTCAAAACTCATCGGCTTGCCTAACTTCGACCGATCACTAATTTTGTGCATTTATAATGGAAGTATCAATCTCTTGTCTTTGATGCGTTGACGACACTATTGTATGCAGTAGGAGGACATCTGCACACAAGTCTCGTGATTCACTTAACTGCACCTTTCTTAGAACTAGATTCAGAGTAGAAGAAGAGGTTGGGCGGAATGCTTCGGTCCTAGGTGTACCCTCGTGAACAATGAACGAAACCACGCACTGCGGACAGTACTCAGTAGGAGAGCTAATGACAACTTCAGGCTTCACATTAACCCACCATTTGTGGACCGAATAGATTGTGTGAAGACTCCGCATTCGAGAACACACAGACACTGCAGCATTGCAAAACCAAACAACAGTCACCTTCATTGTCTGTCATCAAGCCAAAAGGGACGGTTAATCAGGGCCTTCATTATCTTGCATACGAGGCATACATTAACTTACAAAGAACTGTCTCGATGGTCAGAGAATGCATCGCAAAAACGGTTTACAGAACTATGTCTGATCTGTCTCTCATTTCACTAACACTACCTTTAAGAACACCAACCAGAACACCCCTAACATCCTGCGAGACATTACCGTCACTGCCCCTACCAAGAACAGTGTGAAGCCGATTTAGACTTGCCTCAATTGCAACTGCATCTTTTCGGCACGCATAGGCCTGGCCAGTCAGTTTCGACGCCACTGCACTGGGACTGGCGTCCCTGTCGTACCCACCCACATCTCTCAAGGATATTCGGTCATCCCATGGACATTCATGAGACTGTTCGAAAAAACCGGTCACAGTTACTCGGCGGATGGTTGACAGGCTCAGACCGTCGGCTGGTACATAATAGAGAGAGAGAGAGAGAAAGAGAGAACAAGTGATGTCAGCCCTGGGGACCTCAGCCCTACGGTTATTTGGCGCATTCATTCTGACGCGCTTTAAAATTATTACGATGCACTAAAAGTCGTGGGTTGAAAGGATACCAACTGGCTGAATAACTTAATTCTTCTGGTCCACACTGTGCGAATGTGAGATGACTGTTGCGTTTAAAACGGCCCACGCGGTAGATGTGCTGGATCAACAGAGTAGCTAAATCGGAGTCCAGCAGGCGTTATCAGAGATGTACACTCATAACAAATGCCAACATTTGGAATGTGACGACAGGCCTATTTGCAGGCTTACAGCGCGTCAGTTGGGATCCGATTCCCCCCATTTATGCTGTTGTATAACACCCTGGCCAGAGTACGGCGTGGACCGGGGATGTGATGATACGTCTAAGTACGTGTTTTCTCCGTGCTAGCTCCTTGTGCCCTCTTCCGCCTCCGGTCTCCTTGGCTCTGTCTTGGCACCGGGCCCAGTTGGGGGAGAAGGAAGGAGTGTGCTAAATGCATCGAAAGTCCACACACAGTTCACTGTCCCTGATCTCACTCAGCTGTGGAACAAACGGTGGACATTGTTGAAATCGACCGTCAAACTGTCAATGTGGGATGATCGGATCGAGGACTAAGAGTCAAGCTCAATGGCTCCTTCCGGGTGTGGCCTCTGTGGCACTCTCACGGATATGAGATTCGTGGTCCCCTTTCTCTGACGACCTGGTACACTGTGCATGGACCAAGTCGTGTCTGGTCTGCCTTGACGGTCTTCTTGGTCTGGCCAGGAACTGCAAGGACACCCACCTACGGCCATCTTGACAGTGCCTTGCCATCGGAGACTGGTGGGTGGGGGAGAAAGCGTGGTAGACGCTGTGCAAATCGGCCTCATTATAAACTAATCCGAGGTGCTAAGTCCACTCAGTGAGGCACACATTCATTTACTTCATTCGTAAATGCTTGGTACTTTATAGAATAATCTCATTGCATCAAATATGCAATTGTTTGACCTCTTTTCGATCACTGTTGTAAATGCCACCTTGTCGTAGAATAGGGTTGCTACCAAATGTTAAAGCACGTCAGATTCCTGTGGCACTCGCACACTTAACAGTTTCTTGAAGGTCTGATTTCCTTGACCTTCAGCCCAAATTATGCGGTGTTGATGTTATCGAAACACTGAACCTGGTTTAGAGGATTCACAATGTTCGTTCGGTTCTGTTTCCCCATGCCGTCCACAGTCCAAAACATCAAGGTTACAACAAAAACCAGGCAAAATCCCTCCACCGTAGTACAGTCGGTCCTAGAAAGTAACTCCAGTCTCAGAATTCCCATCTTTTTCTAAAAGGACTCATTTCTTCCTGCAAGATGAAGAAGCTTCCACTCCTCTACTTAATAGATATACTTTAAACGCTGCGTACCCACATATTCGCGCTTTCGTCTCTTTTGTGCGAAAAGGACCTGGACAAGTCCGCAAATGATAAACTGTAATAGGTGGTTATTTCTACGCATTGTTCCCTGACTGGATGAATAGTTCAGAAAGTGTAAATGTGGCAAATCTCGAGATCGAGTTGCTTTTTTTCTTATGGTAGGTCACTTAATCGCCTTGTTGTTATTACGTCTAGGTAGGCTTCCTAACCAGTGTTGCCCACACGCCATGGGGGTGAAGGATATTATTTTCATTTTTTGCTTAAAATGAATGAAATGACTGGGTAGGACCGATTTATATGGCCCCTAAACAGGACATGAGAAGATGAACCGCCAGGGACCGCTGGCATTCAGCCGAATTCCAGTGAAATTAGAGTAAGGCTTAAGGTTAGGGTCGGGGTTACGTTAAGGATAAGGTTTACGCTCCGCTTTAAAGTCACCGGTAAGTTAAGTAAAAATCACGTTCAGACTTAAGTTAGGGCCAAGTGTTAACTGTACAGTCAAGACTTAGGATAGGATTAGAGTTATGATTAGGGCAACCGTTTAGTTTTACACTAGGATTGTTGTTGGGGTTGGGACAAGGGAATATCTTGCCCTTTCCGAAATTATGTGCAAGTATACGTTTATTAGATGGGAGCGACGCTCCTATTCCCATATTCAGTTTAGGCAGCCATATAAGTCAGTTCTACCAATGATTGTTTAAAAATTGCCCACATGACATTGGTGCGCTTGCAAAACAGATTTCCTGCGCACGTGTCCATAACAGATTTGCCGTCCATACTATTAACGTCAATTGCATTTTACAACGTCATGCACGCTAGATAATTATCATACGTTGGTTAATCCACTTCAGTTCTGTCTCTGGTAACTATGGAGCATACTTACGCTGTATTACTTACCTATTTCTGTTTTTCTTCTAATCGACTTAGTCCATATTTTAGGTTATACTTCCTCTATTATTATTAACACTTCATGATGTCAGAGAGAAGAAAATGGAATAATTATTATGTGAGTTTTGGTTTCACTTGCATCGTTGGCTGTCAAGTAAGAAGGCTTAAACGCGCTTTTTAGAACTGCAGGGAGAGGTCAAAGCATTTCTAAAAAATGAGACTATGAACTGATCGGAGGAATGGAATTGCAGGAAGCTAACCAGATGTCGGCTTATTTTAGTGATATTTTCACCTGCATGAATGAACTGAACATTTTTATTTAAGGGAAAAATGTAAGCATTTTGACATGCTGCGATAAGATAAATGGTTTCAGGGCAAAGTTACAACTCCCTTGTCGATGAGTTAGAAGAGGGAATATTTCTAATTCTCCACCACTCGAAGAAATGGATGGGGCAGTAAGTCTCTGATTTCAAGCATATGTAAGGAAATTGTGGATAATTTGGGAATAATATCAGAGTCATTTGATGGGTATTTTGGCTAGATCGCAGTTGTTAGCCACGCCCCGTATTACAGGTGACTGGAGGGTTTGTTTACTGGGGATATTTTATAGGGCTCCATAATCACAGCTGACCCATTTGGCTTCTGATTTACTTTTGAGGTAAGGATTAGGGTACCGGTTAATGGTTTCCGATTTTCAGGTTAGGGTTATGCCTTTAGGCTTGGGTTTTCCGGTTATGATTAGAATTTAAGCGCATGAAAAAGTTTCAGCATTACGGTTATGCTTCTCAGTTGCGGCTCTGTCTAAGGGCTAGGGTTACGTTTGCGATTTCGGTTTGGGTTGACTTTACGGTTAAGGATTAACGTTTACGGTTGAGGTTAAGGTTAGAGTTAAGGTTTGGATTAGGGTTAAGGTCGCCGTCCGCTTTCCATTCCTGGCTACCAACTTCGGGAACATGGATTATTAGCCGGTACTATTCATTTGGAATGATAAGTCGGAGGATGAGAAGAGGTCAAAGCATTTCTAAAAGAACGAGACTATGAACTGTTCGGAGAAATAGAATTACAGGAAGCTAACCAAATGTCAGCCTATTTTAGAGGTATTTTCACCTGTATGAATGAACTGAACATTTATATCTAAGGGAAAATATAAGCATTTTGACATGCTGCGATAAGGTAAATGGTTCCAAAGCAAAGTTGCATTTACGAGGCCGGCGAGTTAGAAGAGGGAAACTTTCTTATTTTCCACCACTCGAAGAAATGGATGGAGCAATAAGTCTCTGATTCCAAGAGTGTATGAAGAAATCGTGGATAATTTAGGAATAATATCAAAGCAATTTGAAGGGTATTTTGGCTAGATCACAGTTGGTAGCCATGCCCCGTATTACAGGTGACTGGAGGGTTTGTTTACTGGGGCTATTTTATAGGGCTCCATAATCACAGCTGACCAATTTGGCTTCCGTTTTACGTTTAAGGTTTGGATTAGGGTACCGGTTAATGGTTTCCGATTTTCAGGTTAGGGTTATGCCTTTAGGCATGGGTTTTCGGGTTACGATTAGGATTTGAGCGTATGAAAAGGTTTCAGTATTACGGTTATGCTTCTCAGTTGCGGCTATGTCTAAAGGCTAGGGTTACGTTTGCGATTTCGGTTAGGGTTGACTTTACGGTTGAGGTTAAGGTTAGAGTTAAGGTTGGGATTAGGGTTAAGGTCGCCGTCCGCTTCCCATTCCTGGCTACCAATTGAGAATAATATCAGAGTCATTTGATGGGCAGTTCAAAGGAAGAGAACTGAGCACTTCGGGAACATGGATTATTAGCCGGTCCTATTCATTTGGAATGATAAGTCGGATGCCGAGGAAACGAAGGACGATTTTTTTAGAAATTAGCACAAATCGTATTCTCGAAAGGCAGGTTGGAAGAAATATTTTAGGACAATATTGGTGTTTGACAATGAACATGTTCCCAAAACTTAGTGAAATGGCACTGGCCGTGCTCATCGCATTTGCGGCAGCAATAATTGTGCCAGTCTGGTCTGTCTTTAGTATCCATTTGTTAAACGGAACAAAATAAAGAAATTGCATAATGAACAGGCATGTATGCGAATTGCTAGCGGCAACAAAGTACCACGATTTTACGAACTGTTATCCAATGAATAGGACCAAAAGATTCATTAATTCTTTCTGAAATTTGATTATACAACTTTATTTTCGTTTTATAAGAAACTGTTTTAGGGGGTATAAAAACATGTCAAAATTTTGTAGAGGCGAGAGACATGCAAAATTTGAGAACCTGGCCTTAGCTGTTTGACGAGCAAAAGCACCGTTCTACCTTGAGTTTGGCTTCCAACAGATAAATATTGAGTGATCTACTAGAAGCAACAGTGGCTTTGTTTGTGTAAAAAACCATTCCTTTGCGTTAAAGCTACTTTTTATAGACCTTGTTAAACTTCAGC